AAGTTCATACAACTAAGCGTTAGGCTTGTTTGATTTGTTCAGTCGAGGTGATACACAAGAATTTTCTGACCTGAATAAGCTCGCTAGGCATTTCCTTAAAGGCAGCTAGAATTCTTTGGAAGGGGAAGCCAAAGATCTGCCTTCACGGGCTTATGTTCAAGAAGGTGTAGAAGAAATGCGTAAGGGGGAACATGTAGAGTGTCCAATATGTCTTGAAGCCTTTGAAGATGCAGTGTTTGTTGTGAATAAGGACCAATTCACTCCCCTTTAGACCTTGTTGTTGATGGACTTTGTGACACACACAAGGATGGATGAATCACACACACACACTTGAGAAACCAACCAAGCACAAAGTGACACAAGAATTTATAGAGGTTCAGCAATTGCCTACATCCTCTTGGTGATCCCCTTGAGAAATTCACTAATGAAAGAATAAGTTACAACTTTGGTTTACAAAAAACCCCCTTAGAACTCTATTCTCTCCCAAGCTCTCTTTTCTCTCTCACCCCTTGCTCAATACTTTGATGCACTTGTGAACAATCTCTCACACTTGGTGTTTCCCTCCTTTGGTGTCTAAACTCTTAAGACCCAACTCAGCTCTCTCTTGAACTGATTGCCCTCTCTCTCTTTCTCCCTTGGTGAGATAACCTCCCTTTGAACACAATAGCTCCCAGCTACTTGACAACTTTGAGATTAACCACACACTTAGTTATCTTGCATCTTCTTTTCTTTTGTAGGCAGACCTTTGGACTTAGTAGAGGGCTGCAATTACTCCTTCACATTCTTGCTTTCAGCTACCCACCTAAACACAAGGTTAGGCAAACCAGAAAACAAGCCATAAAGCATGCACCCTTTGTCCCCTTGTCTCCCACCTAGAAAACCCTTTGGTACAAGACAACAAACAACATTTAAATGGTGTTCCAGCTTCTAAGGCACGCGCTGCTCCTTTATTTTATCGCCAGAAAATAACCGCTTGGTAGAAACATCTGAAATTTTGATACGATCAAGCTAAGTGACACACGAAAGTCCTCCAACTAGAATTACTCCAAAATTCGTCCATTTGATTATGTTTTGCTCCAGAGGAAGTCGAAAGTCCTATATTGGAAATATAATTCAAAGTATCAAAATTCTTCCAAAATATCAACCAAAATATACTAAGAATGAGGTTAAATATATAATATAAAATATGCCCATCAGACACCTTGTGCTCACCGCTTATGCCGTGAATGTCTCTTGGCAAGTTGGCGGAATTCAACTTCTGGTTTATGTCCTGTGTGTAGGTATATTCAAGTATTACCTTAGTATCTCAATTTATCTGAAGCCAAGGTTTATTTTCTGTTCTTCGTGAAGTTTTTATATTGAAATTTACTATTTTAGTCTTAGAATTTAACAGTTTCTCATTACAGGAAGAACATGAGTAAGCAAGATCTTATTACAGCACCAACTGAGAGTCGATTCCAGGTTGATGTTGAGAAAAACTGGGTGGAATCATCCAAAGTTAATATTCTTCTGCGTGAACTTGAATCTCTTCGCTTGTCAGGCTCAAAGAGCGCATTGTCTTCAGCTCCCTCTTTCTCGGTAAAAATTACCAGATTTTTAATTTTTTTGAAAAAAGTACATTAGTTGTGTGAGTGCATGACTATGCTGAAGCAAGGACAGTACATGTGATGTAATGAAGCAAGGGATATAATTCTCCTCTTTCCACCATATGCTGTTTGTGTCTGAGTTATATTATCCTGGTAATTTGCTACTCGAGAGTTTGATGAATATTTTTTTAATTTTCCAACTAGGAGTAACATTCCGTGAAAATTTATAGAGTATAGCGTGCGGCTATACTGTGAACATATTCTAAAAGTTTCTATTTATAGCATATAGCCGCGCGGCTATACATTTAAATATTCTATTTATAGGGTATAGCCGAGCGGCTATACTGTTAACATATGTACTGCTAAAAGTTTCTATTTATAGAGTATAGCCGATCGGCTATACTGTGAAAATATGTACTGCTAAAAGTTTCTATTTATAGTGTATAGCCGCACAGCTATACGTTTAAATATTCTATTTATAGAGTATAGCCGACCGGCTATACTATTATAATATTCTATTTAACGAGTATAGCCGCCCGGCTATACGGTTAAATATTATATTTAAAGATTACAGCCGCGCGGCTATACGTTTAAAATATTATATTTAACCAGTATAGCCGGTCGGCTATACTCTTTAAATATAATAATATATAACAATAAAGAAAAAAAGTTCTCATCGGCACAAGTATATGCCGGCAAATATTTGCCGATTTAGACTTCCCCCAACAAAAGTTACCTCTACCGACGTAATGTCGTCGGGAGAGGTCTAATCCGGCAAATTTTTGCCGGGATGTGCCGAT